ATTTGGCTGTTAAAAACTCTCTTCTAGTATATTTCATGATCAAGTGCCTTATGGTTTCTTCTCGCTTACATCATAACAATTGAATATAAAATCTTGTTTGACATTGATTCTATTCCATAATGGTCTGTAGGCTGAAGTTTTGGGGCTTGATCCTAGGGACGTTGATGTTCCAGTTGTAGGAGGCCATGCTGGTGTTACTATTTTACCTCTGCTTTCCCAGGTTGAGAACATGTTTGCACAACAAATATACTTGTCATTTCATGTCATTGAAATTCACAGTGACTTTCTAAAAGAACTTATCGATGGATGCAGGTTAAACCTCCATGTTCTTTCACTCAAGAAGAAACCGAGTACCTGACATCTCGTATTCAGAATGGTGGAACTGAAGTTGTTGAGGTAGGATGTATTCTTACGTGGAATAATTGTATTACAAGTTCATAGATCTTATTTCTTTGAATATGCTGACTCAATATTCCTGAACTCTTGAGTTGCATGAGGATCACTGACGATTAGCCTGTTTTACATATGGAAAAAGGGAATATTGAGTGGTTGCTGGATTCCAGGCTTCTATTCTACCTTTAAGCTATTATTTATTGCAATTACTTTGTCTATTGCAGGCAAAAGCTGGTGCGGGATCTGCAACTCTTTCAATGGTGCGCTTTGTTGTTTTAATTTTGTTTGTTCCTTTTACTGCCAAAGAATGTTTGATTCTCTTCTTTGAAGTTTTATGGGAAAATATGCATCAATATTACAGGCATATGCTGCTGTCAAATTTGCGGATGCATGCTTACATGCTTTGAGGGGAGATGCTGGTGTCATTGAATGTGCTTTTGTTTCTTCTCAGGCATGTTCTTCAAGTTTCACCAGCCTAGATTGTCTTATGGATCTTATTTAAAGATCTATTATACATCAAATCTATTTACTTCCATTATCTAACGAGATTTCTCTTTCAGGTGACTGAACTTCCGTTCTTTGCTTCAAGAGTACGTCTTGGTCGAAATGGTGTTGAAGAGATATACCCACTTGGTCCTCTAAATGAATATGAGAGGTCTGTCAAAATATTGCTAAAATCGTTTGATGTTGATTGCGGGTAGTTGTGTTTAAACCTAAGAATAATATAAGAATGTCTCCATGATTTTGTTTTGACAGAGTTGGCTTGGAAAAGGCAAAGAAAGAGTTGGCTGGAAGCATTGAGAAGGGGATTTCTTTTGTAGGAAAATAAATAGGCTACTGGCAGATTTCTGTCTTCATAGTTTTCCTTCTTGAGAAATCACACCTTCTGGAATAAAGTGGCATTGGTGGTTGTACCATAAAAGATACTCCGTAAACTGAGAAGATGGCCAATAAATGATGATTCTCTGGTTGAGGGCCGATATTACAAGATTTGATATGTATTTGAATAAATTTTTTAGCTGAGAATCACTTTCGTCATCAGAGTATCTGCTCCTTTTTAACTTAGAGGATGCAAATTAACATTTCGTTAAGATCCTTCAATAGAACCATGTTTTTTCTTGGTCGATTTCAAGTTGTGAACATTAAATTCACATTCTTCAACCATGTATCCGACTATGTAGGATAAAAACAATGAAAGATTGAGCACAAATTTGCCAAAAATCACTGTGTTATAGTGTGAAGAATAAAATGGAACCCGAATTCACATAAAACCGTAGAGAATTATAGTAAATTGTTTATGTTTTTGCCCCCAGAGACGGTTCAATATTACAATGACGTAAATTTCAAAACTTTCAAAATTTGGGACGTACGGAGCCTAATTTCCTCCTGTAAGTCATTGAAAACTTGCATATTCCCTAATAACTCATCAAGAATTCCTCCGAGCCCCCCAGAACATCAAGACCCAAATCCACCACTATAATTACACAACACACGAGCCAAGAAGGGAGATGGAATTTTCAATAGATTGGGCAACAAATATATTAATCCGAAGCAGCAATATCCTGAAATCTGAATAATGTTAAATTAGAGTAACAGAAGGGAGTACTTCAAAACAATTAATTCACATCGGGATTTCCTGAAAAAAAATAATTCACAATGCAATTGCCTAGACATATATGAACAGACAAACTATTACAACAAGAAGGTTCCCATTTTGGTCTCTAGAGAGCCATGTCGTCGCCAAAATCTGATGCGATTATGTAAAAAGATACAGCCACGAAAAAATATCAGTCCTCTTGCGTCCAAATCTTCACGGTCTTATCATTTCCAAGAGCACCAGATGCAATCATATTCTCAGTTGGGTTACATGATACTGATATAACAGTGTCCGTATGACCTTCCAGCTTTTGAACTATTTTTCGTGACTGAAGCTCCCATAAGTAGACATTGTTATCCTCAGAACCACTTACTATATACTTCTCATTTGTTATAGAAAATGCTGAAGAAATGCAGTACCTAGAATTGACATGGCCTGTGTAGGTTTTCAAAAATTTGCCAGTGGAGTAGTTCCAGAGTCGCTGTAAACAAGCATTCAACAATTGAGATGGGGAACATTAACTAGCAAGGTTGCTAAGAAAAAGAAAAAAAAATTACCAATATTTTCCTAGCATGAAGATACAATCTTAGAGTTCTCACCCCACGTGTCTGCCATGCAACAAGTATGCACAAGAAAGACACAGGAGATAGCAATGAATTTAGATAAATCCATAATAGAAGCAATGTTCTAATTATATATAAAGGGCTGTAAGGTTTCGAAGGCCTCTCTCTAGCAGATGACGGTTTTTATTTTGCTGCTTTTTAGTCTATATCTTATCCAGTCTCTTGTCCTAAACAACCATTATAAAAGTGAGGAGACCAGACACAATACAGAGGAGGCATGAACCCATTTGCTTCATGCTTCTTACGTCATGGAAAAATGGTGTTTTGACTTGATTTAAAAACTCAAACCATGAATCTCTGTGATGACTAGACAGATACATCAATTATTCACTTTTTATCATTATTATATTTTTATGATCATATATATTCAAAAACATAATTCACGAAAAAAACGTAATTCAAGAAATCGAAAAAGTAATAGCTTTATGGTTTCCTCAAAACAGTGTCTATAATGCTATAACTGGAAGGAAAAGAAGTATCACTCGAATCAAAGATGTTAATCACATCTACCGACCTACCTGTCCCATATATTTTTCATTGCTAAAACAAAATAACTATATATTTCACATAATCAATTAGCCGTATCAAGGGATCATCACAAATACAGTCAACAATTCAGAATAAATAGAGGGTTAGTATTCCAAATAATGCTACACGTATATGATTTAATACCAAAAATGTACTTCTAGTTAAGTGGTCACTGCATGTCCAGAGTTCTTACCAGTTCAGCTGATTACACCCCAACTAATGACCTCATCAATGACAGCGATATTCAATTATATTTTTTAAAAAAAATACAAATACTATTGGAAAACAGAAAAGTTAAAAATGAATAGCCAGCCAAGCCCTTTCTGAACCAAACCAAACCAAATAATTTGCACAGGCTAAGCATTGCAGCAAAATTTCATTAAGTCTAGGGCGGAGATGCTTTCATTTAGTCGTTGTTAGAGTCCCATTTTTTGAGAATAGATTTTGTAAAAACTGATGTTTCAAGTAGGGAAAAGTTTTGGGTTCACATACAAAATTATTTTATCAAGGAGAATGTACGGTTGAAAATGAGTTTTAATGAATGAGGCTCAAACATTGGCTTAGTAAATATTTTGATGTCTAGATTTGAGATTAACAAGTGTACGGACACATTTTTTAGGATTCTTGTATTTCTGAAATTTAAGAATATTTTCGTCATTTTAGTTGAGCAGTAAATGGGTCGTAATTATGGTCATGCACTGACAAACGATGTTATCTAACATCATTTCTGTTTTATTTGGGTTCCAAGCTAAAATAGTTTTGAAGACATAGGAATTCTAGGTTCCAAGATAAAATACAGGTTTATGGAACTAAATAAATACATGTTTCCAGTTAAAATCTAAAAATAATTGACAAACAAAATTTTAATGGAAGGATGCTTCTTGCAATTCTAAGACTGAAACTAATAGCCACTCAAGAACACAAGATCCCAATGCTACTAGACATTAAAAATGAAGAAGGCAACATATTCTTAATCAAATAGAAACCCCATTATCAAGAAATATTTAGTTCTTTCCAAATAACATTAGTGTTAAGGGATAGAATTCCATATCGAATAAAGATGTAAACATAAACCAATTTATAAAGGATTGGATTACTCCTCTTAATAAGGTTGTCGTTTTAAAATGGAATCCAACTTCTTAATATGATATCAAAGCCCATTAAGCTCTAACGAGCAATTCGATCCAGTTAAAACTTCAAAAGTGAGCATACTGATTTCAAGATTGATCTGCTTAAACGAGCCACCATCTTGCCCCCGCATACGGATTTCAAGATTGATCTGCTTAAACGAGTCACCATCTTGCGGGGGCATGTTATGGGATAAAATCCCACAAATAAAGACGTAAACATAAATCAACTTATAAAGAATTGGATTACTCCTCTTAATTCCTCTTAATAAGGTTTTAAGATGGAACCTCAATTCTTAATAGTTAGCCCAATTAACCTCAAACTGGAGTTTTCATAGCCATTTACTTTAAAATTTCCGAAGAGGCTTCTTCGAGCAACCAATAGTATGATAAGAATTATACTGAAGTCCAATCTCTTAGAAAAAAATTAATCTTTCAAACAAGGAAACATAAAGAGAGCAACTTACCAAAGTATTGTCTAAAGTCCCAACGAGAATAAACTTTCCATTAGGAGAAAACTTCACGAAACTAACAGGTGGATGCTCATCATCAATCAAAGTCTTCATGCAATGTCCAGTAGAAGCATCCCAAATCCTACAAAGCCCATCATAGCTACTCGAAACAATCAGCGTCCCATCCCGATTAAAATTAACCGCAGTCACCGGGTCGGAGTGGGCAGGAAGCACCTTTATACACTTCCCAGACTTAATATCCCAAATGCGAACCGTCTCATCATACGAACCCGAAGCAAGCATATTCGACTGAGGATTAAAATTCACACAGAACACATAATTAGTATGTCCAGTTAGAGTCTTGATGTGAGATCCGGACGATACATCCCAAAGGCGAATAGTCCGGTCATCAGCACCAGTGACGAGATAGCGGGAATCGGACGAGAACGCGAGGTCGGAAACTCCATTCTCGTGGCCTTCGAATACGTGGTGGACGCTGGCGGAGGAACCGGAGAGGGAGTAGGTACGGGCGGTCTTGTCGGCGGAGGAAGAGGCGAGGAGGCGTCCATCGTCGGAGAATTTGACGCTGGATATAGCGCGTTTGTGGGCTGGGAGAGTTTGGTTAAGCTTGTAGGGTTTGAACGATTCAGTTGGGTCTACTGTTGATGCCATTCTTCTCTGCAATTCAATTCCGGTGGTACAGGGTTTCGACTCTCTAAAGGGGTTTTAAGATTCTGTGCCGAAGTCATGATTTGCTTCAATTTTTTCTTTTTTTTTTTTAATATCATTGAAAATGACACATTATTCTGATAAAATAATTTGTACATGAAACCATATTTATTTATTTTTACTTTTTACACATTTTGAAAAAAATCACTTTTCACCTAATCAATTTTAAAAAATCTCTATCTATTTTATACCTAATCAATTATATATATACGATGAATTATCCTCCGTATTCAAGGTGTCAACAAGGGCATGTGGACGAAGTGAGTAAAGTGTGATTCTATAATTGAATTAGTTATAAAATAGACATTAAGGAGTCATAACCTGTCATCCTCTCCAAAATGATCACATCACTCAAACGCTCGAAGAAAAATTTATAAATACCCTTATTGGAAGAAAAAAGTATGCAATTCAAATATCTCTCTCAAACAGTTATTTTCCCTCTTGTTCTAGTTAAAGCATCTAGACTATTGAATTTAAGATGTGAAACTCATAGTTAGGTGAGAAGATTTGTTGATTATATTTACATTTGATCTTCGATTATAATTGTTTAATCAATAAAATCGTTTGATTTGATTTTTATCGTCAGCATAAACTAATGAGTCTCGGCAATTAAATGATAATAGAAATTAAAATTTGTTGAAATTATGAAACAATAAAAAAGAGTAATGAATAATGAATAGGTGACTAAAATTAAAATTTAACTTTGTCCTGAGTAGAGATTGTTTCCTCAACAAATTTATCTCTACGGTAATGAAAGTTTGAAGCTTTGAATC